CCCTGGCTGGTTTCCTGCTTCTAATGTATTTGAGGAATTTTTTATTGTTGGTCTTTACGTTTTTTGCTATATGCTCCTCATATTCCCTTTTTGCCTGCATTTATTTGCCATAGCCTGTGTTCCCTTTTATCAGCCTCACTGTGACTAGCTTTCCTGCTTAAAGGAATCCTTTTTACCTTTTACAGCTTCCATTACTTTGTTTGTTAACCATGCAGGCTTTTTCCTATACCTATTTGTCCTTTTCCTAACCTGCGGAATAGATTTTTTCTGAACTTTTAGGATTATAGTTTTAAATAGTTTCCAAGCTTCCCCAATGGTTTTGACCCTTTCTACTTTTTCTTTTAGTTTCCTCCCCACATGTCCCCTCATATCAGAGAAGTTACCCCTTTTAAAGTTAAAAGTAGTTGTGTCAGTCTTTTTGGCCAATTCCCTATTTATACAAATGTTGAACTCAACAACATTATGATCACTGTTCCCAAGCGGTGCAATCACTTTTACATCTCTCACCAGGTCTTGAGCATTACTTAGGACCAAATCAAGGATCGCCTCTTCCCTGGTAGGTTCCGTGACCATCTGCTCCATAGCATAGTCATTTAGAGTGTCTAGAAACTCATTTTTTTTTCTCTCGACCAGAACACATATTGACCCAATCAATATGTGTATGTTTGTGTATGTGTGCGTTCGTGTGCTTTTGTGCCCCTGTGCCTGGAAGTCATGGCAACCTCTGGCAACTTTACTGGGCACGGAGGACATTCCGAGAAGTGGCTTGATACAGCAGGCCTCTGGCCTCCCGGCCCTGGTATTCTTCGGAGGTCTCCCATCCAAATACTTGCCAGGTTCGGCCCTGCTTAGCTTCCAACATCCGATGAGACTGGGCTTGCCTGGGCTATATCCAGGTCAGGGCTTTAATTCCTTTTAAAAATTAAATACACACACACAGAGAGAAAGGCCTGTTGCGGAAAGGAATGCAACAGGCTCTAAGAAGAGGGCCTGGGTGTGTGCAAGGCCCTGCAGCAGTCGCTGGTGGGCCTCCCTCTCCCGGGTCCTGTCTGGCTTGCCTGCCTCAGTGGGGGGCGCTGGGGGGCTTCTCCTGCTTCACTGGGCAGGCAGCAGAAGCCTCGGGGAGGGCTTTAAATGCTGACTCTCCTGCCCCAGGAAATGCAGGGCTGGGTCAGAGGATGCGGGCCGGAGACCAGTTCCCAGGCGGTGGCCCTGGCCAAAGGCTTCCTCTTGAGTCAGGCAGAGGAGAAGAGGCAGGCAGTACAGGTGAGGGAGCTTGATGCGGTCCATTCGAGCTGTGATCTCTGACCTCAGCCTGAGGCCTCCCTGCCCGATACGTATCCCTCCAGATACCTGACCGGGGTTGATGGAAAACCGCAACCCTGATTCTTGCTGCTGCGGTTGAAGCAGCTCTGTTGGTCGATGCAGACTCATGAAGGGCAATTCCATCCTCATTAGAACTGCGGCAGGATTATAAGCGAGACTAGGCCATTTCTTTCTATACTCTTGTATATTAGTTTGAATTAGTTTATACCTCTCTGTTAGGTTATTTCTCCCATAAGCCTTTGCTCTTTTTGCTCTCAGCCTAGGCGTAAAAACCACAACCTTTCCTTGAAGACGTACCTTTGCCCGAATTCATATTTGACACCTCCCAGTCTCCAGGTGCCAAGCTCCGAAGCCTAAACATGTATAGATCAGATGGATGGGAGGCGCCATATCCGTCTAGGTCTTTTTGACATCGCATCTAATAAAGTATATCTGGGCAAAAGTTCGTTTGAGCCAAAGTTCATAATATCAACTTAAGAGGGGCTGGTCTGGTGTTTGTCAAGCCCGGTACATTCCTGACTGACACCTCCATTGGTTCCTATAGGCTGAAAAGTGTATAAACATGGGGCTTCTGGCTCTGTTCGGGGCTGCTTGGCCAACACCCCACCTGTGTCTGTGCCGGTCTTGATCTTGCAGCCCAGGAATATTCCTTGTTCTTTCTAAAGTTCTGATAAGAGCTGTCCTTGAAAAAAGAGCAGTTTCTGTCAAGAGCTCTCTCAGCCCCACCCGCCTCACAGGGTGTCTGTCGTGGGGAGGGGAAAGGAAAGGAGTTTGTCAGCTGCTCTGAGACTCCTTTGGGGGTAGTGAAGGGCCATGGGGTATAATTCCAATCTCTTCTTCTTCTTCCCTTCTAAAGTGTCCACTCTATCAGGTATTGGGATTTTCTGTATGCTACTTGTGCATGGTTTTAAAGAATCAATAGCTTTTGTTCACAGCAACTTCTCCCCCCCTCCCGGGGAAGCCTGGGTTCCCTAGCCAGTCTCTAATCACACATCAAAAAGAACCCTAATGGGGTTGTGGATCCCAGGCAGAGACCTTAACCTCTAAAATCCCCCAACAAAAACATAAGAACAAAAGAGAAGCCAATCGTGGATCAGGCCAGTGGTCCATCCAGTCCAGCACTCCCCGTGTCACACCGTGACTCAAACCCAGGAGCCATCAGGAGGTCCACCAATGGGGCCAGAACTCCAGAAGCCCTCCCACTGTTGCCCCGCATCCCATGCCCCAGGCAGAGTGTTTCATCTATACCAGGGGTGTCGAACTCAATTGTTACGAGGGCCAGATCTGACACAAATGGGACTTTGTCAGGCCAGGTCGTGTGTTATAACCGGGGTGTCGTAACCGGGAAGACGCCATCATTGCCGATGTCTTACCCAACCACACAGTTGCCAAGACGACGCTGCAATGGAAAGGGTGATAGTTTTTAAAAAGGCTCACAGCAATCCACAGCAGCCAGGCTATTTGATTTTAGCTATAATAGTGCTTTGTCCTTAACCTTCCACTGCACATGGCATTTTATCATTCGGGGAAAGTGGCCCAGGCACCGAGGAGGGTTGCAGTGCTTGTAAAGATACAACCAGCAAGTCTGGACTTCCTAACACTCCAGCAGCCAACCAGAGAATCATACAATGCAGTCTGACGACGATATAAAACTATCGTTATTTTATTCCATTGTTGTTTTGTTTACTCACACTGACCTAGGGATGCCAGCCTCCAAGGGGTGGGACCCGGGGATCCCCTGGAGTTACCGCTCATCTCCAAACGGCAGAGCTCAGTTCCCCTGGAGAAAATGGATGCTTTGGAGGGTGGACTCTGGGGCGACCCAGGAGACATTACTTTACTTTACTTTATTTACAGTCCATGACCAGAATACAAAGAAGTGAGAGAGAAAATGACCACAGCCTGGTAAAATATAAAAATTAAGGTCTACAAATATGACCTCTCGACCTAAACTTTTTTTTTGGGGGGGGGGACTGTTTGCTTTCGGTTTCCAGCTGCAGCCACGGAAGATAAGAAATGTTTAAACTGTGCCTCTTCTAGTTTTCAGTTAACTGCACTATTCTTCCTCCTGTCGTTCCAGCTGGCATGCTCTGTGATTTCTGCCAGTTCAACTGGAAGACTCTGGGGCACTGTGCCCCACTGCGGTCCCTGCCCCCCTCTCCAGCCGCTATGGCCGGGAGTTTCCTAACCTGAGGCAGTAGGGTTAGAACGGATAAAAGGAAGTACTTCTTCACCCAAAGAGTGATTAACACTTGGAATTCACTGCCACAGGAAGTGGTGGCGGCTACAAGCATGGACGGCTTCAAAAGGGAATTAGATAAGCATATGGAGCAGAGGTCCATCAGTGGCTATTAGCCACAAGGTATAGATAGGGACTCTGGGGCAAGTGATGCTCTGTCTTCTTGGTGCTTGGGGGGGGGAACAGTGGGATGGCTTCTAATGTCCTGGCCGCCGGTGGACCTCCTCATGGCACTGGTATTTCTGGCCACTGTGTGATACAGAGTGTTGGACTGGATGGGCCTTTGGCCTGATCCAACATTGGCGTCTCTTATGTTCTTAATAGCTAGCAATCCAAAACAGTCCAGTGGAGCCTGAGAGGTGGGTGTTGCCTTCTGACACACTTCCGGTGATGTCAGGGGGTGTGGCATATGCAAATGTTATGCTAATGAGTTATGCTAATGAGCTCCTGCACCTCTTTTTCTACGAAATGACCCCTGATCTCATGTATGTTTCCTTAGAGCGTCTGAAGGAAGCGGGAAAAAGAAAAGTTGACCTGGCACCCCTGGGGACTTTGGAGGTGGAGGAAAGGGTGGATGTGAAGTCTGATCCCACTGAAAATCTAGACGTGACATCGCAGCACCAGCTCCAGAACTCCTTGGTACTACCCTGGAGTTTTCAGATTTGCTAATGTCACGTCTGGGTTTTTGGACAGATGTGATGGTGACGTGTCGTTTGACCTAACTTCTCCCCCCCCCCTCCCAGGAAGCCAGGCGCAAGTGTCATGTGGATGGGCCAGCCGCTGGGCCTTTGGTCTGATTGGGCAGGGTTTCTGTCAGCAGTTATTTGCTCTGGAGTTCACAGGTTTCAAGTGTCACAAAAGTCTGAACCGTGTTGGCTTATAGGCATCTCATCCTTCTCTTCCACCTCCCCCTCAAGTTCAACCAAAATTGTCACACATTCTTTTTTGGAGTCGACACAGGGCAAGGTTTCACAGCCTTGACATCAGGGGTTCTTCAAGCAGGATTCAGACAAACAAACAAAATACAAAATCTGGGCTAACACCCAACACTCTCTCCTGCACAGGCAGAGAAGAGGCCGTGTCGATCCATCGCTGTCTTTGCGGAGGAGTGGAAACTGCTGTGGCCCCAGCTGTCCAGGTAGGGGAGACGAGCAGGGGACCGCCTGAGTTCCCCCTCCTTTCTCAGGGGGGCTTCTGCTCCTGCAGTGGCTGCTAAGGTGCCCGAGCAAGAGAGGCTCTGCACGCCGCACCCTTGACCCCTGCCAAGCGCTCCATCCTGGACACTCCCAGCATGCCCCTTTTCCAGAGGGCAGTCTTGCCTGGCACAGTCTCTGGTGAGGAAATCTGCTTTTCCTTTCAGTCTCCAGCTTCCTTTCTTCTATTTCACCGAGGGTGAATGGGCCCTGCTGGATCCGGAACTCTCTACCGGGAAGTCATGCTGGACAACTATGGAAATGTGGCCTCTCTGGGTAAGGACCTTTCATAGGCGCCCAAGGTGTGAATTGCTGCCATTGCGATGATGTGCGAATCAAAATGTTGAAGAGCAGTATGTCATTGAGAGCCACTTTGGTGTAGTAGTTAGGAGCGCGGGCACTAATCTGAGAGAACCAGGTTTGATTCCCCACTCCTCCACATGCAGCTGCTGGTGTGACCTTGGGTCAGTCCCAGTTCTCTCAGAGCTGTTCTCTCAAGGGCAGTTTATGTCAGAGCTCTCTCAGCCCCACCTACCTCACAGGGTGTCTGTTGTGGGGAGGGGAAGGGAAAGGAGGTTGTAAGCAATGTTCCCTCTAAGCTGTGGAGTCTTGTGAGCAAAAAATCTACTTTGTGAGCTACTGGCATTAAAGTTGTGAGCAAGCGATTTGGCTGCTTCATAAATTAGTCTGCTCTGGAGCCATCCTTCCTGAGTGAAGACAAAAATGTGTGAGCCGGAGGCTAAAAATCTGTGAGCTAGCTCACACCAACTCAGCTTAGAGGGAACTATGGTTGTAAGCCCCTCTGAGACTCCTTCGGGTAGTGAAAGGTGGGGTGTGAATCCAATCTCTTCTTCTTCTTCTTCATTGTGAGGCTTAGCCCTGTACCCACCCCCTCTGGAGGGCTCCAGGAGTTGAGGTGGCAGTAAAAGCAGCCCACACACCTGGCTGGTCCAGGGGCAACTGCGGCCAGTGTTGTGGCCAGCATGAGAGCCAGGGCGGGCGTCACGGCCTGAGGTGGAAATAGACAAAGGCCTTCTGTCCCTCTTCCTACTCTTTTATCGCTCTCTCCCCCAAAGGAGGCACCGATGTACGGGAGACTGCAGCGGGGACAGACGAAGGGCTGGAGAGTTTCTCAAGAGCACCTCAGCACAACATTTCCTTCCCGAGTGAACTGACTGCAAGTGAGTGCGCTTCATAATTATGTCAAGGGAAGGGGCAAAGAATCGCCATGGAGGATTTCTGCTTCACTTCTTAGAAATTCATGGGCTGCCATCGGACGTGCAGTTCGATCCATTGCCATTGCTGTTCCCTTCCAGATTTAAAATGCACGATCAGACAACAACATCTGTCTGTCGTGTCCCAGTCGTCTGTATCCCGTTTCCCCTCCCAGTTTGGTGTAGTGGTTAAGTGCGCGGACTCTAATCTGGGAGAACCGGGTTTGATCCCCCACTCCTCCTCCACTTGCACCTGCTGGATGACCTTGGGCAAGCCATAGTTCTGATAAGAGCTGTTCTTGAAAAAGAGCAGTTCCTGTCAGAGCTCTCTCAGCCCCACCGACCTCACAGGGTGTCTGTTGTGGGGAGGGGAAGGGAAAGGAGATTGTCAGCTGCTCTGAGACTCCTTTGGGTACTGAAGGGCGGGATATAAATCCAATCTCCTCCTCTTGTACTTCTTCTTACTGCATGTTTCTGATACCTGTGAAAGTCCAGTCCTTTTGGGCTGAGCTGGTTTCAAACGAGATTGCCTGTTGCCTGATTGCTCTGTTGTGCACCCCAGCCATCAGGCAGGTCTGACGGGTTAGGGGTTTTTTTTACTAGTTAGTGAAGTGCACATAGCTGCATATTCGCAACTCTCTCCCCCCGCAGACACACACGGGGCTTCTCAAAACTGTTTTCTTTATAAAAACTTCCAAAGAAACTCTGTACTTCAGCTTTTTTCTGTGCTTTGGGGAAGGGGTTAATTGAAAAGATTAGAGAGGGAGAATGGGAGTGAACTACATATCCCAGCATGCTCATCAGCACTTCTGAGCATGCTCAAGGACAAACGAAAGAAAATGGCCGACAGCCCCAGGAACTACATATCCCATCACACTCACCAGCACTTGTGCGCATGCTCAAACTTTAAAAAAATGGCTGACAGCCCCACTCCCTAGCTGCTGTGTCTGATCGCTCAAGGACAGGGTAAAAGCACTTTGAAGAGTGTTAAGGGGGTGAGTCTGATCACAACTCTCTGTTACAAAAAGACCCAGATCAGTCAGAGGCGGGGCCACACCGGATCAAACTGCACATCTGACCGCAGCCCATGCGACGGTCACCTCGAGGCTGGACCACTGTAACGCTCTCTACTTGGGGCTGCCTTTGTCGCAAATCCGGAAGCTGCAGCTAGTGCAGAATGCTTCAGCTAGGCTGTTGATGGGTCTCTCCAGGCGAGACCACATCCGGCCGGCGCTGCAAGCGCTGCACTGGCTGCCAATAGCATACCGGATTCGCTTCAAAGTGCTGGTGCTTACCTTTAAAGCCCTGAATGGCCAGGGTCCGGCCTACCTAAGGGACCACCTCTCCCCGTACATTCCCCCAAGAGCACTGCGATCGGGGAACTTCCACCGCCTGGAAGTCCCAGGCCCCCGAGGAGTGAAGTTGGCCCAAACCAGGGCTAGGGCGTTTTCGGTGGCGGCTCCCACCTGGTGGAACGAGCTCCTGGAGGAGATCTGGGCCCTGCGGGACCTGATGCAGTTCCGTAGGGCCTGCAAGACAGAGCTCTTCCGCCAGGCCTTTGAGGGGGAGCCGCCGCCGCCACTATTCCACCATTGATTTTCCAACCATCTACCTCATATGGTAGGGGTAGATGTCGCCCAACAGAGCTGGGAAACACTTCTCCTGGCGCTCCTGCTATGAAGAACTTGGCCGCCAGTGTGGGACGTTGCGTATCTTGGTTTTTATGTAAATTATCAGAGCACCAAATTTTATGTAAGATACATTGTTTTATTGTGTTGTTTTGCTTGTATGCATACTTTTAACTTCAGCATGGCCATCTGTTAGCCGCCCTGAGCTGAAGATTGGATAGGGTGAGATATAAATCCCAAAAATAAATAAATAAATGTTGGGTGGAATTACAAAACCCTCTGTGAGTAAGGCGGGAGGGAGGCCGTTGGGGGCCTGCGATGTGGGGGGATTATTCCCGGGGTGAGCTCAGCTGTGGCTCTTTTTGTCCCGTTAGGGGCTGCAGTGTCCTTAAATATCAGATGTTCCAGATACTTAAGAACAGCTTTGGTGGATGGGCCAGACACCCATCAACCTTTTCCTGCTGTGGTCAGTTACGTGTCTCCAGGCTGCCCCTCCCTCCCTACCCCAAGAACTGGCATTCTTATGGGGGGGGATCCCCTAGAACGGGGGTCGGCAACCCGCGGCTCCGGAGCCGCATGCGGCTCTTTTGAACGTTTGCCGCGGCTCTACACTGCCCACCCGGTGACAGGCCTGAAATCCGGCGAGAGAGAAAAGGCGACGGGGATCGGGTCTCCGCTCGTCCACCCCTGTGCGCTCGCTCTCGCTCTCTGCGGGGAGGGAAGGAAGCAGGGGCGCGTCCCCCCCCCCAGCAAGCCCCCCCCCCAGCTCCCTGCCTCCAATCAGGTCACAGGACTCTGAGCGGGAAGCAGTATGTGCCGCTCTTGCTTGTTGCCGCGGCCGAGGCCACCCACCAGCACCCACCAGAAGGCAAGTAAGTTGGTGGGGGTGCGGTGGGGGTGCGGTGGGGTGGCAGTTTGTGCTCAGGGCGCCCGGGGCCCGCCTGGCTAGCTGGGGTCCCTCTGCGTCCCCGGGCCCAGCTGAGCGAGCAGCGAGGGGAGGGGGGCCGCGGGGAGGAGAGGGAGCGAAAGTTTTTCCT